TGAGTGAAGGAATACAAGAAGGAGTTTCCCTGAATGCAGTTGGTTGCCTTGTGTTTTTTAAACGTTATTTTATTTGGTTTTTTTATTGGGTTAAATTCCGTATTTGCTGGCCTTTTTTAACATTCACTTATATTGTCTTCTTACATAAATGTCATAAAATAATACTGGGATGTGAGAAATTAATCTTTTTAAATTCAACATTTAAAAAAAAAGAGCAAAACTTATAAACATTGAATGTTTGATAATGTCTAAATATACGATGCAAAACATAAAGTAAATAAATAAATAAGCTATTATGACCGGTAAAACCCTTTACAGAAAATGTTTGGAATTTAAAAACATTTTCTCTATTTTAACCCTAAATACTACGCTAATTGTAATATAAATAATAAGCATTTTAGATAAAATGCGATTGTAAAACGTAGTCAACGAGTTATCAATACACAATCAATGCACATGATGTGTTAATAATCACTAGAAATTGCTGCAAATATAGTGAAACTGCTGTCTATCCTACTTAAACCCATTCAAGCACGGAGTTGTTTGGAACTATTGAGAGCTCAATGAACCACGTGACCGCGTGGCGGCGAGATCAATTTATTTAATACACGAGTTTCACAATTTGAGTTGAATTACTGAAATAAATGAACTTTTCCACGACATTCTAATTTATTGAGATGCACCTGTAAATAGTGTTTAAAATGACTCAATGACTTGTCTTATTAATGTGTATGAAATGACTTTTTGCATTCCAGCAACATCTTCACAGCAAGAACAAGAGTCAGAAGGCAGCACAGATGTTACTCCCAAAGTCCCTGGACAGCCGAACAACTCACCTAGAGAGACTGCATCTGCTACACCTGCAGACAAAAACAGTGAAGTGGATAAAGCTAAGGACAGTGTCACTGTCACTATGTCCTAGCTCATATGTACAAAACATACACTACATCAGCACTTATGTCTGTACAGCTGTACATAGATGTTGTCAAATTCTTCACTACATTTTTTTTAACTGTTTGTCTTGCCTGACTGTGCGTTTGTGTTTTTTTTTAATGTAATGACTATGTCTGAATGTTCCAAATCTAAGACACACAGACCATTTCCTGCTGTAGGATTGAGAGGGTTGTCCACTACTTTGTTGGGTTCGATTCTAAAAAAAAAAAAGAAGACCAGTTTATTTATTGTTCTTTTTAAATCTTGTAGGTACATGGGGTCTGATAACTTTTATTTGAGTTCATCCTTTTTAATGTTGCCAAAATATGTTTATAGTATTCAGAAAGCCTGATCTGCTGGTAATCTTTCAAAGATGAGTCCCGTCACTCATGTCATGGTTACAGCGAAATGGTGGTTTTTATTTCCAGTTCCAAAAACTAGTACAGAATGTGTTTACTTTTATTTTTACTAATTTAAGAAGAGTATTGTGCTGTATTTCTTGGATTGTCTTATTTATGCTATTTTATCAAAACATTTGGTTATATAAAACTTAAGAGACAACATCGTATCTTCTCCATACAGCGCTAAGATGAGTTTAAACACTGTTTTGCAAAATATGACTACTTTATCACTATATTGTTCGATTGTGTCTCCATGGAAAGGAGATGGTTACACATGTTGTAAAACTGTATTATCACTAGATAAGAGTGAGAATTGTAAATCTGAGACTCCCTTTATTTGATTACCTGTAATATATCTTAAATGCCTTCAGTTTTTTCTGTTTCGCCTGCTGTTTACCTCTGTGATCCTGTTGATGTTGCCGTTTGTGACATCAATAGGATCTCATTGTTCTCTTTTTAAGTTTACCTTGCATTTGAAAGCCAGTGTTAGATCATTGATGAATGACAGAAGATTTTGTCATGTCTATATTGTTGGTGTCAAAGAATTGTTTGCCTTTAAGATGATAATTACTTTAAGACGAGTAATTTATGTTTCCTTTTTTAACCTTTAAAAGTACCCGATTCATTTGATAAGAACATTGGCTAAATATATTATTGTTTTTTAAAATTACCTTCACACCAATCCAGGTGATTAAGGCAGTACTTGTTTAATGCTGTTTTTGTTAGTTATAATTTTGCATTTTGATGCTGTATTCTAAATGTTTAAAGAACAAATTCTTATTAACCCATAAGATACTGCACCTATGAACCACAAACAGAAAAATTCCTGTATGTTATGCTGTTAATAGTGCATACATATGTTATTCCAAACCATATACAGAGGGCAAAGGAGAGCGGTCAAGAGTGGCTGTCAGTCTAAAGAAGAACAGATCGATGTTTACAATATTGTATATAAATAAAGATCTGGTGGTCTAAATTGTAATTTAATAGTTTTTGTATGGTGCAAGTGAATTAAAGAGAACACCTGATGAAAATGTTTCACATTGGAGTCATTCTTTGATGAGTGATTGACATTAAAACATGCAAGAAAGAAAGCCCTACTTTATTTGGACCTTCAAATGTGTTTTAATGGGACAGTATTCACAGAAATCTTCGAGAAGCTGTATGCTATGTACATTACTGGGTTGTGTGTAAATGTAATCTCTAAATCTCTAAAAGAAGTGATTTGTTTTTGCCACGGTATGTATGATTGTGGTGACTTGTTGCATAATATTTTTGTGGACACCTCTGTTATTATAGCTACCAAATCTTATATCGATGTCTGGATCTGAAGGAAGGCAACAAGGCAAGTCAGAATCCGATGTTTGTGTATCATCCTCTCTAATTATGTGTCCTTATTTGCTGCCTATTATATCCTAAAAAATAATGTCTGTCTAAAATGAAATCCCAGTGTGTAAAAATGTAAGATGCATTGCTCTGATATGGGAAGTTCAATGCATCAATTATATAATTCTAAAAATGAATTATAATTAGTGTACTATAATAATACCCAGTGTAATACAAGTAGATTTCTCGCCCAAAATAAAGTAAAATCTATTTTTGATCAAACATAATAATAATACATTAATAATAATAATAAATCTGTAAAATCTAGACCCCAATTATTAACGAATTTCAGAATAATATGATCAAATTGTACAAATTGCCTTTCAATGAGGCTTTGAATGGCGGTCAGATGTTCGACTGCAGACTAGAGGGTGCACTTCTGCATGTCGGACATTTTTGAATGGTGCATTTTCACCCCCACGACACTGCGTCGCTGTTCTACATTGTAACTTCAGCTTCGCCTGTGCTTTGCCTCATGCTATGCACTACTAGCAAAAGCAAATACTGTATTCGCCACCATCATCAACGAGAAAAGAAAATGGAGGTCATATCTTTGCACTGACCATAGGCCGAAAGCTATTAATGCTAACAAGTGAGTATGCATTTCCAGTTGTTATGGACACTAATGCATGTTATTCTGCCGTTCGTCTGTGCCGAATTCAGAGATGCAGATTCAGTGTGTCAGCTTTACAGCAGTGAACCTCGCGCTCTAGTAATGGCGCCACGAGTCTCCATATTTATTTGATACGATAAGAAAAGATTCTTCCAGGTGGAGTACAACAAAGTTTTGTCTCCAAATCTAATAAGGCTGAATCTATGTTTTGGTATATGAGTTTTAAAAACACGTATGTCTCTCGTGTGCTTGGCAATCACGTTTTTTTTTATTAGTTTGACTGTACGTTATTCTATAAACTGTTAACAGATTTATGTACACGACTGCATTATTCCGTCCTGTTTAAATGTGATTACTACGAATTTTAGATGCAATTAAGATTACGAAGTGGGTGTGTGTGGTCCTCTGGTGTTGCACTAAACCGTGTGCATTATTTTGCAGCTTTTGAATCTAATTTATTATAATGTGAAGTACTTTTCTTCATGAATGTTTGTGTTTTTCTGCACGACTGGAAGGTATAGAAAGCTAGTCCGTGCAGATAAGTATATATATATATATATATATATATATATATATGTCTGCTGAGGAAACT